AAACTGTCTGACTGGTTAGAAAATCTTTTCTTTTTTCACCCAAGGTAAGACACCACTGAGACTAATTCTTTACTTAAAGTGACTATAAAGGTACAATATTTAAAAAAAAACAAACATATTATACTTACCTGCTCTCTGCAATGGTTTTGCACAGAGCAGCCCCGATCCTCTTCTTCTCGGGTCCCCTGCCGGCGCTTCTTGCACCTCCCACTGTGTCTCTAGGGACTCCCACAGCAGTCTAAGGTCTTGTTTCATAGGTGGCAGTAAAAATAGGCGGTTGAGCCGAGGAGAGGTAGCACATATTGCCACAGCCACGATTCTTTGCTTTGTACCATGGCAAAAAAAGTATATGGCATACTGTGTTTGGTAGGTGGAACTGCATTCAAACGAATGAGGCTGTGCTGTAACCGCCCTGTAACCGTGTGTAATGCACTCCGTTGCAGCACACAGCTGAAGGCTTTTATTGGTTAGAACAGGTGTTCATCAGATGACATATTGCCTCCAAGCCACCTGTCAAATGCCTCTGAAAAGTGATCCACAACAGATTGTTTTCCAGAGGGGCGTTTAAACACCACACATGTAAACCAGCCCAAAGGAGTATATGAAAAGATGGGATCACAAGAGATTAGATCTAAGGCTAGTAAAAGTTTATTTTTCACACAAGTCAGAAAATATATCCAATGCGGTTCGGGGATTCACAAATGCCCCTTCATCAAGGGCTTATATTCTGTAGGATTAGAGGTTTGGAAATAATACTGGACAGGTAGTTGCATGGCATGAAGATTACTGTAAAAGCCATGCAGGTTGCCTGTCAGAGAGGTGTATATTTTTGCTCATAGAAGCACTTTAGCAACATTAGTTGCAATTTGTTTCATGGATCATCTGATCTAATTTGTATTTTAACAGTTATATTTTAGAAAATATATTAGAAATATTTTTCTTGCCTAAATGTACAGATAATGTGACTGTTTCTCAGTGCTATTAAAATACAATTTAAAAATTTTGTTGTCAGAGTGTCCAGAACACCCTGACTTCTGTCGTAGCAGGATCATTGCTACACAGGTACTATATTTACTGAGCCATAGCACTAAATGAGAGTAAAAATAGATTGGGCCCTGTAACTTCTGGCTGCCGCAGACCAGCGATGGGAAAATGAAGCTCTTAGCCACGAGAAGTAACACTTAGAATTAATATTTAATTCCGCCGACAAATTGTACGCTGCAGCTGAAAGCTTCTTAAGAGTTGTTTGTGCCACAATTGACCTACAACTTTAATAGCTCACTTGGAGAAGCAAGTGCCAGTTCAGCATAGAGCAGCCACTGCTTGGTAGTCTAGGGAGATTAAGATCAGCAAAGCAAATGGTATTGCAGGGTTCCTGGGATGGAGCCTTCTGGAAGTCTGGGAGCCAGTGTAGGTCTGCAGCCAGAACTCATGTGAAAACAGTGGGGGAAAGACAGCACTCTCGCTCTGGATGGGTCTGGGTATCAGCCAATATCACAGCTCTCTTCAACTGTATGTAAAAGCAGACCTCCATTTGGCGCTAATCATGAATGCACAGCCAGTAAGCATTTCTCTTTTTATGTAAATTAGCTATTAACTACATTTTATTATATATGTGTGTGTATACACACTGCTCAGCATAAATGAGTACACCCCCAACATATTTGTCAGAAAACCTTTCCTTTCCTTTCAGAATCAACATTTTCTGTGGGACACTATACGACAAAATACTCCAACAAATGTGGGCCATTGATTGTAAACAAGATTTGTTAATTTGCAAACACAAAAAAGTATTTTTCCTAACAAATTCATCCAAGATCGTGTTGCAAAAATGAATATACCCCAAAGAAAATCTTAGGAGCAAAGCTACATTTTAGGCAGCATTTCTAATTAACAAGAATTTAACCACAAGGTGTTCTAATTATTCATTAAACAAGTGTCCGGCAGACAGGTGATTAGGTCATTACTTAACAAAAAAAAAAAATCCTTTTATACTGTCAGCAATGGCACCACATGGAAGAGAAATACTATAAGGCCTGAGAAAGAAAATAATTTCTTTACACAAGACAGGTGAATTCTACAAGAGCGGAAAAGCTTTACATATCAGTCAGAATACTGTAGCAAAAGTGATACAAAAATTAAAAATGGATCTGCAACCATCTCACAGGGATGTGCAGGCACCTCAACAGGAGCATCTTCTGGTGAAAAGGGTTGAAGAAAATCACCATGCCAGTTCACTGCAGTTAGCTAAAGAAATGGAAAGCCAAACTGGGATGATTGTTTCCCATGACACAATATGGCGTACACTGCAGAGGAATGGCATGCATGGGTGTCGCCCATGAAGGAAGCCTCTCATGTAAACCCCATGCACAAAAAAGCCTGCCTAGATTTTGCCAGGGCCCATGCTGAAATAGAAGACGACTACTGGGACTCTGTACTCGAGTGATGAGACCAAGATAAATGTTTTTGGAACTGATGGCTTCAAAACTGTATGGCATCACAAAGGTGAGGAGTACAAAGAAAAATGCACGGTGCCTACAGTGAAACATGGTGGTGGCAGTGTCCTTCTGTGGGGCTGCATGAGTGCTGCATTTCATTGATGGTATCATGAATTCACAGATGTACTGCTCTATATTGAAAGAGAAGATGCTACCATCACTCCGTGCCCTTGGTCATCGTGCACTTTTCCAACATGACAATGATCCAAAACACACATCTCAGGCCACTGTTGCATTTTTGAAGAACAGGATGAACGTAATTCAGTGGCCAAGTATGTCTCTTGATCTGAACCCAATCTAACAACTATGGGAAATTCTGAAGAGACAAGTTGAGCATCACTCTCCGTCCAGCATCCAGGCTCTAAAAGAGGTTGTTCGTGAAGAATGGAAAAAGACTGATGTTACAATATGCTGCCAAATTGTTCATTCCATTCTTAGAAGATTTGGTGCTGTCCTTACAAATCATGGAGGTCATACAAAATACTAGATGGAGTAGTACTTGTTGTGGGGTGTATTAATTTTTGCATGAGAGAGAAAAAAAAACACACACAAAAAAAAAACCTGAATATAGTTATATAATTTATCAGCCTCTAAATTGACCTTGGTTGTTTTTGGCATAGGATTACCTTTCCACCCCTACAAAACAATATCATCGCTGAAAAAGTTGTAGTCACTTGCAGACTCTTAAACCCAATGTAACCCCTAAACCTTATCTTTAAACGTAAAGTAGAAGTCCTGGCTAACACTATTTAAGTTTAAACCTGCTCCCACCCCATTTCTGAGCCCTATACTAACTACTCTGCAAAGTAAGATGTTTATACGTTTCTTATCTAAGGATGCTCTGGTCCGATTGCATGATTGGCTCCTAGCACCGGCTTCAGGGGAGAGGAGGGACAGCTGACAATGGATGCTCCTTAGGTAAGCCTTTAGGTGACATCACCATCCAGGCATTCCATCCATTTTCAGTGCTCTCTCCTCTCCCCTGAAGCTGACCGCTGGGAAGATCAAATGACCAAACCAGCACACTCTTAGAGACCTAACCCTTAGATTTTGACTGGACTTCTACTTTAATTGAAACCCAACCCTGAGGGCCCTTTCACAGATTCACACTGCAATAATGCGTAGTGACCAAACATACATTAATGCATAAACCGCAGTGTGGTGGGTTTCTGTGCCATTCATCTCAGGGGCCTGTTCACGTAAGCCTGCACACAGTTTAACATGCAGGCTGGTGTCCCTTTCGTGATAGCACGGGGGAAGCATGCTTTGCATTGTAATAACCTCTTTTAATAAAATTAAACAAAAAAAAACCCAAAAATCGTCAAAGTGACATTTCATACACATTTATCTACTACAGCAGAGGTGCAGTGTGGTGACCAGTGCTGACATCAGGAAAGCTCCAGTGTGGTGTGGAAATATGCAGCATGTCTGCAAGTTTCTGCGATGTACTTCATATTGCACCAGCATTGTGGTGTAAACAGGACACATGGGAAGAAATTGCCCTTGCAGTGACTAACATTGATCCAATGCGAAAAAACACTAGTCACAGCACATAATGCGAACAAGCCCTAAATGGCACCCAAGCACACTGTTAATGTAGGAGCAATGCACACACACTACACTGCACTATAATGGCATGTGGGTTGTCCTGCGCCACATAACAAAAAAAAGTAATATCTGCTTTTTTCATTTTGGTTCTTTTTGTGCATGTATGCCTTTCTTAAAGTGGTTGTAAAGGCTGAAGGTTTTTACCTTGATGCATTCTATGTGTTGTAATAACCTCTTTTAATAAAATTTAAAAAAAAAACAGTCAAAGTGACATTTCATACACATTTACCTACTACAGCAGAGGTGCGGTGTGGTGACCAGCTCTGACATCTGTGCATCAAGGTAAAAGACTTTACCTTGCTTCCCTCAATATTCCCCCCTAATATTCACCTGAGCCTCCTCCCTCTAGATCCAGTCAAGTGCATGGGAGCTTTGGCTGTCACGAACCTCTCCCTCCTCATTGGCTGAGACACAACAGCGGAAGTCATTGGCTCCCACGGCTGTCATTCACAGCCAGTGAGCCACGGTTCTATGTGTCTTACGAACGCATAGAGGAGGGCTCGGGAGCAAGCATGCACCACTTCCCCCATAGCAAGCAGCTTGCTATTGGGGGAATTGGTTAAGGGGAAGGAGCCAGGAGCACTGGCGGGGGAACCAGGTAGAAGAGGATCGGCTTGCCCTGTGCACAACCACTGCACAGAGCAGGTAAGTATAACATGTTATTTAACTACCTGCCGACCGCAGATAGCCGAATGACGGCTGCACTGCGGCCGGCCAGTTCTGGGTGGACGTCATATGACGTCCTCCCAGAACGCGCTCTCCTGCGCGCCCCAGGGGGCGCGCACCCGGCGATCTCCGTGATCGCTGTGTCCTACGGACACAGCTGATCACGTGATGTGGTAAAAGGCCAATCACAGCGGCCTTTTACCACATGATCAGCGGTGTCCAATGACACGCTGATCAGAGGGAAATGCAAGTGCCGGTTCTCGGCTGCACTTTCCTCACGCTGTCAGATCGTGAGGAAAGTACTGCCGAGAACCGGCAGTTGTCAGAGAGGGGATCGGCACCGATCATCAGGGCACTGATGATCGGTGCCCTGATGATCGGTGCCCAGCAGTGCCGCCCGCAAGTTCCGCCCACCCTGTGCCCAGCAGTGCGCCCACTAGCTCCGCCCACCTGTGCCCAGCAGTGCACCCACCTGTGCCCAGCAGTGCACCCACCTGTGCCACTCTGCAGTGCCACCTACCTGTGCCCAGAAGTGCCACCTACCTGTGCCCAGCAGTGCCACCCACCTGTGCCCACCCACCTGTGCCCACCCACCAGTGCTGCCCACCAGTGCCACCCACCAGTGCTACCCACCAGTGCAGCCCAGCAGTGCTGCCAGTCAGTGCCACCAGTCAGTGCCCAGGGGTTGTGCCAGTCAGTGCCGCCAGTCAGTGCCCAGCAGTGATGCCAGTCAGTGCCATCTATCAGTACCCATCATCAGTGTCACCTATCAGTGCCGCCTATCAGTGCTGCATATTAGTGCCGCCTATTCGTGCCACCTCATTAGTACTGCCTATCAGTGCCCTTTAGTGCTGCCTATCAGTGCCCATCAGTGCTGCCTTATCAACGCACATCAGTGAAGGAGAAAAAATACCTGTTTGAAAAATTTTATAATAGAAACAAAGAAACTTTTTTTAAAAAAAATTTTTTACACTTTTTTTATTTTTAGCGCAAAAAGTAAAGCGCTTACTGGCGATTAAATACCACCAAAAGAAAGCTCTATTTGTGAGAAAAAAATGATCAAAATTTCATATGGGTACAATGTTGCATGACCGCGCAATTGTCAATCAAAGTGTGGCAGCGCTGAAAGCTGAAAATTGGCCTGGTAAATAAGGGGGTATAAGTGCCTGGTAGGCAAGTGGTTAAAAAAAAAATAACTGAACCTTTAATATCACTTTGAAATCTCATAAGTTTTAAAATGGTAATGTAATTTCAAAAGTTATTTTAATCTTTGTAAATGTAAATATGGGTGGAACTTGTAGCATGTTCCAGAAGTGAACTTTTCCTTTTAAATTTTGTCAGGTGTGTGCTCCTAAATTTTACAAAAACATATACAGTTGTGTTCAAAATAATAGCAGTGTGATGAAAAAAGCTCAAAATCCTTCTAATAGCTTGTATTTCCATACACACAAATGCATTGGGAACACTACACATTCTATTCCAAATCCAAACATGAAGAAAAATATATCAAATTTGTGTTGTTCCTCTAAACAAATTGAAGAAAAGTGAATATTAGACTGTTCAAAAAAATAGCAGTGTTTGTATTCTTCTTTACAAACTCAAACATTCACTAAAAATTGTTTGAAGATTTTGCTTTCCTTTGAATCACTTAATATTTAGTTGTATAAGCACTGTTTCTGAGAACTGCTGTACATCTGTGTTGCATGGAGTCAACCAACTTCTGGCACCTGTGAACAGGTATTCCAGCCCAGGATGATTGGACTACATTCCACAGTTCTTCTCTATTTGGAACCAAGATGTTGCACGTTTACTGGTGTGTTTGGGGTCGTTGTCTTGTTGGAACACCCATTTCAAGGGCATTTCCTCTTTAGCATAAGGCAGCATGACCTCTTCAAGTATTCTGATGTATTCAAACTGATCCATGATCCCTGGTATGCGATACATAGGCCCAACACCGTAGTATGAGAAACATCCCCATATCATGATGCTTGCACCACCATGCTTCACTGTCTTCACAGTGTACTGTGGCTTGAATTCAGTGTTTGGGGGTCGTCTGACAAACTGTCTCCGGCCACTAGACCCAAAAAGAACAATCTTACTTTCATCAGTCCACAAAATGTTGTGCCATTTCTCTTTAGGCCAGTCAATGTGCTCTTTGGCAAATTGTAACCTCTTCAGCACATGTCTTTTTTTCAACAGTGGGACTTTGCGGGGGCTTCTTGCAGATAGCTTGGCTTCACATAGGCGTCTTCTAATTGTAACAGTACTCACAGGGAACTTTAGACCTTCTTTGATCTTCCTGGAGCTGATTGTTGGCTGAGTCCTTGCCATTTTGGCTATTCTTCTATCCATTCGAATGGTAGTTTTTCGGTTTCTTCCACGTCTTTCAGGTTTTGGTTGCCATTTTAAAGCATTTGCGATCATTTTAGCTGAGCAGCCTATCATTTTCTGCACTTCTTTATATGTTTTCCCCTCTCCAATCAACTTTTTAATCAAGGTACACTGTTCTTCTGAACAATGTCTGGAACGACCCATTTTCCTCAGAATTTCAGAGAGAAATGCACTGTAACCAGCATGTACAACATTTGCTGCCTTCCTTCCTTAAATAAGGGCAATAATTGCCACCTGTTTTTCAAAGAATGAATGACCTCACTAATAGAACTCCACACTGCTATTATTTTGAACATGCCCCTTTCAATTAGTGATTCAATTACACAGAATCAGCAGCATGCATGTCATGACTGTTGGGTCTGTTGGATTTCTATTACTCTACTACACCTGCTAGTAAATTATTTGCCATGTAGAAATATCATGATCAGGTTAGTGATACCTGACAGGTATCTCCTCTCACCTGTGTCGGTTATCTTCCCCTCACCTGTGTCAGCTTCGACACCTCAGCCCAGTATTCCAGGTACCTGTCCAGGCTGGAGAAGCAAGAGTGTTAGACCAGACCATTATCCCTGCCACCTGAGTGACCACCAGAGGATCTTCTCATTACCAGGCAATACTCACATAGGACCCCCCGGCTACATGAGATATCTATCTATATGCGCATTAAGATTGCGCTTCCGGTGAGTGGGCAATCTTTCTATACCTTCATGTCGGGATACTGGAATGCACTCGTTTTGATTGAAGTCATATTTATCACTTTGGACTATATACCATACACTATATTGGATTTTAATTACATAGGATTCATATCCGGCTTATTTAATACGCTATTTGCTTAAGATTCCACTCATTTGGTTATTTATTTCTTGTAGCGCTGCACTTCCAATTTTTACGGTGCTTGTGAAATATCCTCATAGCTGCATTGTGGTGCGAGTAGGGTACTTAGAAAACATCTTCTATGTGCCCTAGCATTGAGCCTGTGTTATTCTGTGCAGGTCATCACAGCTCAGCTGAACCTCTGCGAACCACCTCACAATGTTAAAACTGCCCATTTGGTCTGGTATATAAAATGTTGACTGTATTTGAAGATCAGTCATACACCCATAAACTCAACCTGTTCACTCTTGTTCTCTTGCTGTGTCTTAGAAAAGAGCAAATATTGTACAGAAACATGTGACAAGAAGCTGCAATCATGCTTGGTCTGTCCTGGATCACATGCAATTCAAATGAAGGCAAACGCAGTAAACTAGCTTACTATAGTAGCACAGAACCCAGTAGTGATGTAGCAGCCAGCAGAAGGAGCCACAGCACCCCGGGGGGGGCACAAAATATGGCCCTTCCAGAATTTTTTATTTTTTTTCTATGTTTGAACTGGATGGACTTTTGTCTTTTTTCAGCCAGACCAACTATGTAACTATGTAAGTGTTGTATAGCAGTAAGTCCCAGATCTCAGCAGAGAATGTAAACTATACTCATTAACCACCACTAGAAAGTAACTATAAAGTGTCTGCTTTTACATGATGGCTTTTTTTTCATACTCCTGCAGAAGGGTGTAATAATATCTGCCATTTTTTTCAAATATAAAATATTATTTTAATCCTTGCATCCTGGTGCTACTGATTGTTTGCAGCCATGTCCTCTCCACATATATAATCTCCATCTGTGGTTGTATGGCATCTCAGGGGGCCACGGTCCTGATGTTGACAACTATGTAATGTGTGTTGGAACAACTACTTGTAGTCCAACTGAAGCTTTTGTGACTGGATGACAACACAGGAGTTGTTGTAACAGGAAGTGCCAGAAAAGGACTTTCATGGCAGGATCACTGGAAATTATTTTAATGAAAACTGCAAATTTAAAATGATTGAAAGTAACTATGATAATGTCATCAATATATTAAAGTTCATGTGAGATTTTAGTGATTGGGATTACATTACTGACCTCCTTATAGCTGTCCCTTATATTTTCCTGTGAAGTGGCCACTGCTTGGTTGAAGCAGTAGGCTTACAGGAAAAATAGGGCACAAGGTTTCTGGGTTTGCTGCTGACTACAAGCAGTCATTCAGGGTGGGACATCTTGCATAATTTACCATGGGGATTATAAATAATTTAGTTTTGCAGAAGCCGATAGCCAAGAACATCCAACGAGCTGCCGACCAGCAGAAGGCGTAGTCATCTCTTCTGCTGACTCTCTGACACTTTCCCACCTGCATGAACTCTCTTTCCCATCCACTTCCCCATCTGGCCCCTGGATTGCCAGCTTGTGTTTGATGACAAGCTATAATTTTGCACTCAATATGGGATTAGTCTAAGCTGATTTTAAACTTTAGTATCTTTTAACCTGCCACTTTATTGTAGACATCAGCTGGATGCTCAGTTTGAGATTTGGGTACTAGCAATTATTTGTGCTGGAAGCAAACTTGCTTCCAAAATCGTTAAGCTGAAACAACTGATTTATTTGGGAAACTTTTATCTGGCATTTTGTCATTTCAGTTGAATTAAATCCTTTTTTTTTTTCCTTGTAGAGATAGATAGATATCAAGACCAGATTCTGTATCAGGAAAATTGCTTTTTTAAAATGTAGTTTTATTAGCTATGGTCAGTCTGTCTATATGTGCTTTTCTATTGCATTTCTCTTTATCAAATGTTGATATTCTATTTAGAAACCTTGTATTTAAAATGCAAACAAAATCCAAGATAAAAAATTTAAATATTACAGTTTAGCATTCCTTAGATGTGGTGGCTGCATAAGGCTAGGTTCACACTATTGCGGGTGCGGGAATCACAGCTGTTCCCTCACCAGCAACCAAAACACGCTGCTCTTTAGAGATGCACAAGACTAACATTCATCCTTAACGGCACCCCCTACATTTAAAATCCCAATGCAGGAACCTCCAGGTAAATCTCATGCAATTTTCCTGGTCTCTGCTGTTTTAAAATATTGCAGGAACCTTTTTCCTGTGTGAAACACATACACTGCAGCCCATTCAAATGAATAGGCTACTATTAGGCAAGTCCTCAATAGTGTGGACCTTGACTATGGGCTCATGCATGTGGACGCAGACTATTCTGTGTTCTGATCTGTAATGTAAGCTTTTTTTATGGATTTGAATGCAGCTGTATTTTATACTGTGGCCCCAGGCACACAGATGCACATAGCTCCATAATTTGGAGCTGCATTCAGCTGTTTTAAAAAAAAATAGAAACATCTGTGCCCATGGTCCTGCAAATGGACCATATTTAATTCTGTATGCATGTAACCGTTTGTGCTGACGTTTACATGTGTAAAGCATTTAGTAGCAGCATCCTGTGTCCTAGCAACCTAGGACACTAGTTGGCAGAATCTACCTGCGTCCTGGCAACCAAGGATGCTAGGTAGCTGGAGCCACCTGCAT